AAAATGGCTTGTAGGGTATTCTTTACCTATAATTCTGAGAGAAAAAAAACTTTACAGTAAAAACATATGAACATGGAAATCCTGCAGAGCACTGATGAGTATCATGACTCAGGTATTCTGTTGCAAATAACCAAATTGAAGGCCTATGACTAAAATATGGTGTTGCTCCCATTAAATCAACACTTTGGAATCCCTCTTATTAACTCATCAGACCCGTTTTGCTAGTAGAAAAAAATCATGTATCAAACTGAGGAAAGAGGTCCCTCTGGGAAGTTTTCTTACATATTTAAAATCTTTCGGCAGAGTTATAACAACACTTCAAATTTCAGGACAAACCAGATCATTGATGTCATTGACAATGCAGCATTGTTGGTCAACTGACAATGGAGCACATCGTGTTTCTTAATCTTCTGCAATCTAGAACAAGATGGGACGTTAAAGGAAGAGAAAAACAAAATGTGCAAAAACCTCATTCCAACAGCAGTTAGACTTACAGTAACCCTCAACAAGGAAAGAAAAATGCAATTTTAAACAGATATATATTTTAATTCACATTATATTAGAAATTTATCTTTAAAAGTCATATAAAAACAGCAGAGGTCATTTATCAAACATGAAACACTCCTATATTGAATCATGACTGTATTTGCTGTCTATGTTTCATAATTAGTTCAGGTTTTAATAAATATAATAATATATTTTTGCAACAGCACAAACAATTTCAAGAAGGGCTGAGAATAGCACCAACACAGAAAAAAACTGATTCTGAAAGTGAAAACAAGATAAAATATTAATAAAAGTAATATTAGAATCATGTCAGAGACCAGCTCTGTAATAGTTATGTTTGGTTCATTACACATACTAGATTTCTGTTTTTCTATGCTGCATTTGAATACGTATTTTTGGTTCTCTCATATTTGGTTGCCTCTTATATCATCTTACTGGTTCTTTAGTTTTCCTTCATGTTCATCCTTTTGTTAAAAAATATCCATCCACCATTCACCTGCTGATGTCTGACAATATGAACCCTTTTCACTCTTTTTAATTTGTCACAGTGCAACTCCAAGTCTCAATTTTATGATCTTGTCTTTAATGTAATCTTAATCTAATCTTAATCTAATCTAGAGTTTATGACAGTTTGCTCTTGTTTCCTTTTTTTGGCCAAAGTAGCCATGGAAATCAATGTGGAAATCTGGATAATATCCCAACAGATTTGCTTTTATAAGCAGACCATTAGGGTTGTTACAACAATCTTCTGCTTTTTACTAAAACTAACCTAATATGAAACTTAATTGAAAATGATTTGGGGGGATAAAATCTTTTATAACAGACAAAGAGACATAAAGGGAGGTGAGAATGAGAGAGGGAATAAGAATTTAAAGGAGAGACAAAGAGAAAAAGACAGGAACAAGATGGGGAGAGCAGAGAGAAAACAAAATAAAACAGCAAAATAAACAACGCAGAAGATATTCAGTCATTTCAAGGAGGCTGCTTCTGCACCTAGTAACAAGACACCGCCCACCAAAGTACCCAAACCCGCACCTAGAGAACCATCAGCAAACCAGGAGACACAGATACCCCTCACTGGTGGAAAGCATGAGAAGGGGGAGAAGACAAGTCCTACTCTTGCTTGGGACCCAGGATATTCCATTAGGTGGGAGGGGAGCCAAGCACTCATTCTTACAATTAGTCCGGTCACATTCACATAATCCCACCCTTACAACCGTACAGGCATATACAAGCACTCAACAGAGACACACACAGGAGCAGACTCTAAACATGTTCCTACACACCTTCTTACACACTAGATACACCCTGCTGTTCCCTCACCCACTGCAGGGTCAGGGTAGGCAGCCAGGCAGACCCACAGTGTTAGTTTTTATTTTTGCCAGATCTGTTTTTTTTTCAGTTTACAAAAGATTTTCTATTCTAGATTGTTTTATTTTGTTAGTTTTAGTTAAAAATGATAACCTTGTATGGGATAATGTTTTACGACCTAATATAAATTTAGATTCCTTCCCACTTTTATCCCCAAACGGTCAGCTTTCTTTCTTAGTTTCCACATTTGTTGATTATGAAGACTGATCTTAATGTTCCTCATTTTGAGATAAAAGTTGTTTTTTTTTTTTTAATTCATTTGCTTTTTTTCAGAGGTTTCATTGCTATGTAGACTTTAAGAATATGTAACAATGCACTCTAGCAGTAGCAGCACAGTTAATAAGTGTTTGCCATGCTTTTCTGCTTGTAGATGTTTATTATTATCTTCAGTATTTTAAAAACAATATCTGCAAACAACTCTGTATACTTTAGCTTAGGCTGACAATAATCTAATTACTTTATGTTTCATCGAAAATTTTCCATTTTGATTGTTGTGACTTGTGAGACTTATTCCTCACAAAACCAGAAAATAAACCTGCATATCAAATAATTAGTTAATTTCAATTCAGCAACTTATGAATAGAGACTAGACACTTGTGGTTCGGACCAAATAACTGGATACCCAACCCCCAAAAATACACTAAACGTCATCACAGCATAGATGTAAACAATAGTGAGTGTCAGAATGGTACAGGTAGGCCCTCTTTTGAGACTTTTAGGTATAAATACTGGAATACTTTGTATAACTTTCAGTTCATCTTAAAAAAACGTGCTGCCATGTGTTGCTCAATCACAAAAGTTCCCAGCCCAAAACATGCCACGTTAGAATGACAGTTAACCATCTTTGTGATAATAGATAAGAATGTAGCTGCATCATTTGTATTTTGTCATTTAGCAATTATGCTATGACTTCAATAGTTAAAGAAATGCCAAAGATGTTTTATGTAGAACGTCTAGTCAAGTTTTTGTACCATGTAATCACAGTTTAATTATAAGATTCACTATAATAGAAGACATAAATAGATATTGACTTGAATTGCAATCCTTTCTTTACAGGCTTTTGGAGGTCAGCAGTGACATAACGATACAGATGTCACTATGGTTAAACAAGACAAATACCTCCCTAACTGAAACACAATGGCACCTTTAATACAATGTAGGCTATGTCATTTAACACTAACCTATAAATTAAGTTCTTACACGGGCGGGCAAACAAAAGTTACATCTTTTAGCCTGGAAAGAATGCATTTGTTGTTTGGCAAAGGGATGTTTTGTGTACAGAGAAAAGCCAGTGATTGGTCACAAGATGACACACAGAACAGGTTGTTCTTCAGGGTTTGATATTAGATATATGTACGGTGACAACTTAACTCAATAACAAGGTTCAACTTTCCAAACAAAGGCCTTGTCTCACCTGTAAAGCACTCATTTCCTCCTGCATTTTTGTATTTCAGGGAATATTCTAACACAACAACATTTTGTCAGGCTTTTTAAATCGAACCTCACATTTATCAAGCACATTTAAATTTCACTTGCCAAAATGCAGAATATGAAAGCAGCAAATGTTAAGACAATTCAATTGACAAGTAAGAGAAAACAAAACCATAAACGGAAGCAAAAAAAAAAAAAAAAAAAAAAAATCTGCTCTCATGCTTTTTAAAAGCCATCGGGTACAATAAAAAAAAAAAAGGAGACTTAACACTAAGAGTTAAAGCATGGCTAATATAAGGAGAAGCTGCTTCCACAGACCTTAGCTAGAAATGTATGTCTGATATGAACATTAAGATTTCAAGTATTTCTTGAGAAATGTGATATTATTGTGGCTCTGAACTTATTTGAAACTGGAAAGGTATCTAATGTCGCTTTATAGTGAAATAAAACCAAATGTCTTATAAAACAAGAAATCAAATGTCAGACTGGATTTCTAAGGTTACACAGCAATCCTGACATATTAATATTTTAACAACAAATGGGAAGCTAATCAAATAAGAAAATCTGAACGTGAATGCTGTTGAAACGAAGCACGTTTACAGGAAGGAGTGATGCCTCCTTAAAGCTACGGGCCGATGCTCACAACCTTGTCTGGGTGATTCATCGGGTTTACTCTGTGTTATCATTTTTATGAGAAGCACCATATCCTCATTCTTACAAATGCTCATATGAGATGTTAGAAAAAAATCTTGCCTGAATAATTATAACTGTCATCAGAGGAGATGTGACTTTTTTTAGAGAGACAGGAATGTAACCGGGGGTGTGTGCAAACCACAAAAAAAACAATAAAAAGTTTATGAAGCTTTTATCTTTGCTTTCTCTGCACGGCATCTGAAGAGCTAACCCCTCTCCACTCCGTGATGTGTCCTGTGGTATCTGTGTGTGTGTGTGTGTTGGGGGGGGTGGTTATTCCACAATCTTATTTTGTGCCCCTGGTTCAAAGCATACATGCACCACACACTTCAAGGGCATATGTATTAAGGAACTATTTATTTGCATGCACATCTAACATAACCTGCAGACCGTAAAACCTCTTTAATCACACTTTTACATAATAACACATAAAAATCATTTAGTGCATTACAGATTCATTCTGTTTTTCATCTCTCAGTTCATTGTCTCAAGTCATGAAACTAGTTGTCAGGTCTGACAATGCCAACCCTAGTCTTCCGACAGTGTTGTTTATCGCAGGAAAAACAATTACCCACGTCAAACTTACCCTGTACCAAAAGCTGTCTGCCTCTTAACTTAAAAACTGGTTGTGCTGCTCTTCACAGCAATGTCTGCTGTCAAACACTTACTGTAACACTGTTGTTTTCATATTTAAAGCATTGTATCTTTTTACCTTCCTTGCAGCCTGAACTAGTTGTAGTCTATCCTGCTCTTAAATGACTCAAATGTAATGTAATAAGGGATGTAATCCTCTTTCCTCCATGTTGTACTGCAAATTCTGCCTGACAGCTTAAAGCTGCTGAACCCTCCAAGCTAAGCTGTCAGGAAAGAAATTATGGATAAAAAAAGCATCTAATATAAAATGAATTAGGAGAGTCTGAGAAAAGCCTCCTAAATGTCATTTTAGGATACTTATTTATTAACACTAGTTGACTCATAATTTTTCCTTTGTTTTTCAGCTATTAATCATCCCGACAGAGATACAGCAGAGAGCAATCAGTTGCTCCCAATCTGACCGCCTGTGATTTTTCAACTTGGACAAAATGGACAAGGACATGATCAATGCTGCATGTACTAAATTCTTTAAAGACATCCAGATTTACTGTGCTGTTCTTACGGCTGGTCTTCCTCTTATACACAAATCCAAAATCTATCTAAGAGAAAAAAAAAAATTAGATTGTGTCTGGCCTTTTATTTCTTTCACTAAACCAATTTTCCAATTAGTCATCCTTTAGACTTTCACACTGAAACCAAAGACACAGTCTAGGCTACTTCCTGGGAAACTCAGAAGACAAAAATTTTACAGTAAGCTGTCAACACCCCACCCATTAGCAATGATTGCATAATACTTGTTTTGTTGTCTAGCTTCTTCTTACGTTGTTTATATTGGGCCTCTGGAATGTTAATAGAGCAGACTTAGCACTGCGAGTATACATAAGGCTATTGAGAAGGAGTTCATACCATATGTTGGCAACAATCCAAAAAAGTCCAGAGTCCATCAATTAAGTTATTTGTAATCAGATGTTATCTACAGCAAGTTATTTTTATAGATGATCACCTGGAGTCATGTTAGAAAGTTGAAGGGGCCATCCTAGCAGTGCTTTGAGATATTTCCTTGAGAATGCATTTGGGACTGCAATGGACTGGTGACCTGTCCAGGGTGTACCCCGCCTCTCACTCGTAGACAGCTGGAGATAGGCACCAGCATCCCTCGCGACCCCACTTGGGATTAAGCGTGTCTGAAAATGGATGGATGGATGAATGCATTTGAGATCTTTGCCTTCTTAAAGATTTATCCAAATTTCCTCTTCTCAAGAATTTTTCTACATACAGTCTCTCTTCAGATATATGAAGTCTACCAGTACCATATGCTAAAAAAAAAAAAACATCATCACATTATGATGCTCCCACCTTCAGACTTAGGGTTATGGTTTTTTTTGCATAATGTGAAGTACAGTACATATCTACTTTAAACAATGTATAATGAAATCTAAAGAGAAAAAAAAAATTAAATGGGGTTATCTGACCTGGCTATATCTTTCCAATATTTCACTGACGTGTGAAACTGCTTTGCAGCAAACATTAAATTAGCTTAAAAGCAGCTATTTTCTACAGTTAAGTCTTGTCATTATGTTATTGACAAGACTAACCACATTATGGTTAAGTGCGTTGCTTACAGGTTTCATTATAAACAGTTTCTGCTCCTCCAGATCTGTCAGATATGACAGAGTTGTGGGATTTTCTCATACATTTTTTCTAAATTACAAGAATACATTTGTAGTACTGCATAATAAGGCTGTTTTAATATAAGAATAGGAAAAAAGGCAATTTTCATGAGAAGAAAGCTTTGATAGTTATCAATATTTTACCTGATTAGCTCAAACAGCTCTTTCTTGGAAGAGCTCTAACGAGAAACACAAGTACTGCTTTACTTTTGTAATATTACAACTTCATTTTGATTCTACTCCAGCTTGGTTATATCATGACTTTATTCTCATACTGTTATAACTTTATTCTCTTTACATTATGGTAAATGTCAATTTGCCTGTATTTGTAAAGTGCTTTATCCAAATCGATTCACACTACATTTAGAGATGAGGCACGGTGACTTTACTCTAAAACTTTTATTATTTCGGGACCTAAAATGTTATCATTGTGTTCATAGTATTGTGATTGTATTCTATTCTTGCAATGTTGTAACTTTAATCTTCCAGGACTTTCGACAAAGATACCTACCTCTTTGCATGTTCTAAAAATACTTGTTTGGAACAAAGGTTTTACATTTCAAAGCTCTCTCTAAGCGGTAATTCTGACTTCACAAAAATCTGACTAAGGCCGGGCATACACTATATGATATTTTCAATCGTTTTGCTGAGCTAAAGCTCAAACTGTACGACGCAACCAAAGGATTTAATAGCTAATGGCTCATGATTAATATTCTTCCACCGTACAGCACAATGCTCTGATGTGATCTAACTGCTCACACTACACAATCAAAAACCACATGTGGGACTCAGTGCAGAGAGATGGCACTGGTCAGACTCGTCAGTCCTGAAAAGAAGAAGAAGAGCTCCCTTGTTTGCACATACGCAGTGCTTGAGGTTCAGGTAAATCAGCTTGTAAACGCTCATAGCTCCGCTTCAACAGCAGGATTTGCTTACCAAACGCCTCACGAGGCCCGATTGAATTTCAAACATGTTTGATTTTCTACCAACCTTATGATTCTGATCGGGAGGAGAGGCTGATCGCCCCTCGTTACCCCCTGTATACTACAAGATGCAGGATGAGGCTGAAACTCGTCCGATCGAAAAATGAAAATTCTTGCATAACTGGAGAATCAACCCGAAAAGGGCAAAACATCGTACAATGTGACCCGGCCTTAGTGAGAATTTGTCTGGGTCAATTTATAGTGAAATTATGTTTTTCTAAAGTTTTTAATGATAGCTTCATTAGTGTTTACTGGAACAATTACAAGTTGAGAAACAAATTTGCAGAAAGTGTAAAAATATGATTGTAAAGGTGATTTTACCCATCATGAAATACTTCTTGTTTAACGAGAAATCTTTATAAGCCGCCACAAATCCTTTGCTATTTTCTTGTTGTTCATGGTTAATTGCTAAGGTCATTCTCTAACATATAAAAAAATGGTATGTGAAAAAATATGTAAGTATAACAAAGAAATATATAATCATTGAGAAAATATCTCATATAAAATTGCAATAATAATGTTTAAAGCTACAGTGTATAATAATTACAGGGATATACAGTCAGAAATGTAATATATTATACATAACTATGTTATTTATCATCATCTACGAGCTCAGCCTCTTAACCTTAATATTTGCGTTGCCTTAGAATTCGTTATTTATAATTACATAGGAGCGGGTCTCGCAGCCATGGAGGCAGACATCTTTGCGCTACGGCAGCAAAGAGCCAACAAACTAGCGATTGCGAGATCGCCCATTACGCTCGAAACGGGTATATTTATTATCTTAAGTCTACATGAAATCTATACCCTACACAGACTAATGAAATACTATCTGTAAAATTATCTATGTAAACAAACCTCATCACTTGAGAAGGTAGGTGATGCGGACGTTGTGGGAGACATTTTGTCCCGTAACGCTCGCCGTACTGTTGGGGGGAGATGTTCATGTTGCTGCGGTCTGCAGTCTGGACGTTAGATGTCGCTGAAAATTACACACTGTAGCTTTAAGTGCTCACATTTACAGTTTCTTGTCAACAGAATGTAGTCTAACATTAAAATAACACTGTCTAGTCTATTCTCACTGTCTTCATAGCATTTGAATGAGGTTATGTCTAAGTTTTATTGATTTTAAACATGGGCAGGGAGCTTATGAAGACAATTGTACAGGGTTTAAAGAAAATATGTATGTTAAATAAAAAGAAGCCTATGGATATCCTAGATATAATCCCAAAACTATTGTCAGGCAATGGCATGTAATGAGGATGACATCAGAAATTTAACACAAAACACATGTTATGTGATGATCTGTCTCAATCTGTACAATGACATGCCAAGACCTGTATCTGGCGATTTCCTGCCCGGCCCTACTATCAGGTTATTTCTGTCCAAGGCGTCACCAAAAATGAGACAGAAATAGAATTGTTATTAACTTAGACGACAACAGCTTTCATCGCATTGTATCATCTCCCAATGATTCAAAGCACCATTCATATGAAATAGACTAAGGTATGATAGAGTTGTGATAAACATTGTTGTTGTGATGTCAGCAAACATTCTGCACGCAAATATTAAGTCACATGGGTTTACAGTCAAGGGAGTGCCACCAGTGAGCCGTGTTATTTTTCCTCTGAATAAAAAGGTAGTAATTAAAGTCGGGGCAGTTACAGAGCAGGTTGTCTACAGTATTTGATGCAGGTGTTTAGACATTAAGTTTGCTAATGCATGGAAAATTCTGCCCTCATTTTATAAAATAAAAATAGATGCAAACTAACACTGATTTCATAGTATATGAAAGGAATGGAAAAGATTTTCTGTAAGCAGATAATAGTTGTAAATAGCTGTTGCATCCGCACAGGCATTTGTTGCAGCAATATGACTTTGAATTATGATAATGTTGTTGGCATTACTTTTCAAATAAAGACTGATTTTATTTTCATCATGTTGACTGAGTCTGATTTCTTTATATCACGAGTTGACTATACTTTAGTCCAAGTTTAGTTGCTGTTTAGCTCTTTTTACTATATAAATTTTGTTCTGATTTATTTCAAAATATTAGTTATTGTGTTATATATTCTTCTCTTATTCATTTATCACGGTAAATTCCCAGAGACGTTTAATATCTTTGTGTCACATGCCAGCCTTGGGCAGGCATAGCAGAAAAAATGCAGCCATGTTTTTGTTTTATCATTCTGTGCGACATACTCTTCACATATCCTTCAACATGCAAAACTCTCAAGTTGAAACCAAAACAAGACAAAAGAAACTAACAAAGCTACACTTTGTTTGGAAAGATACAATGTATCTTTAATGTACCAACAAACTGTATCAAATTCAACAAGACTGAAAACCAAAAAAAGAGTATAAAAATTTAGATGATTCTAACTATCAAATGCATAATTTATATTTCTGTCGAGGATATTAAATCATATATCGATATATTATGCAAAGAAGTTTATGTTAGTTGAATATGTTTTTATTTTATATTAACAAACAGAAAGACATAGAAAGGGAAATATTTACAAAATTAGAAATATCGAGAAATAAAACAATGGTTAATAGTTAAAAAATTAAGTAATATCAAAAAAATATTTACATTTTTGTAGTAAATTCCAAATGTAGAAAATCATTTAATTATAATACAGCAGAAAGTGGTGAAAGTTTATTTTTAATGACGTGTGAACTGTACTCCATCTGTTAATATCTGTTATTATATAGACATACAAGAGGAATGAAATCCCACTTGAGGATTTAAATGATCATAATGAAACTCATCATTCTTTGGGTTATGATTAAGCAATGGGAGGATACAATCTTTGTTGCTTGTTTTTGGTATTATTACTGTACATCATGCTAATTACACTATTTTACAGTGATTCTTTGAAATAATAAATTATTAACAGGAAGCAGCTTAAATGTGGTGTTGGGGTCCTTCCCTCATCCTCATCATCATCATCATGCACTTGCCATGATGTTCTGCAGCTTCATCACCTCCTCAGGGGTCAGGGGAATTCTAGTTGCAGTGCTGGAGTTGACCATCAGCACAGCTGAAGGCTCCACCTCTAACCTCTGCATCCCTCTCTGCATCATGTCTTCCATGTAGAACGTAGAGTTTGTCCTTATTCCGGTTGGACTGGAACCTGGTTTGATTGGATTTTGGGGGGCCACGGTCTCTTTGGAGTGGGCATTCCAGAAATCTCTTGCTCTGGGCTTGAATGACCAGATCCCCTGGTCAGCTTCCCCTCTTGTTAAAAGGCCATCTGAAGTCTTACTGCTGGTGAGAGAACTATCCTTGTAGTTTTCTGTCTCTGTGTTTGGTACAAGATTTGATTTGTTCCTTAGCCTCAGATCCTCTGCTAAGCTCTGGTTCTGAGGACGACAAAATGTCATGTCTGTCGGGAGAATATCCTCACCCAACAAGCTTGTGTTTCCTAAGGACTCTTCGCTATCAGAGACAAGAAGCTCTTTTGTTTCTGGCAGCTTTTTAGAGGAACCATACAACCGTAGCCAGTTACGGAACACAGACAGTGGCACCTCGATTTCCATCTTGCCATCCTTTTCTTTGGAATTCCTCGGCAGAACATAACTGAAATTAAAACCTGCTGGTTCTGTTCTGACACATCTGTCCTTTGTTGGCTCAACTGGAAAGTCTTCCTTCAGAGAGCTTGCTTTTGGTTTGGCCACAAAGGCACTCAGGTCTGGTTCAGGGGTCAGAGAAGAAATCAATATTGGGCTTTCGGAGGGTGTCAGGACTTGGATATCATCATCATCGGTCTTACTCTTTTTCTCAGAGTCAGAAAAGCTTGGCACACCCTTGCTGGACTCACCCTCCTGGGCCTCAATTCCTTCACACCTCATTACGCCTGCATGTTTAGGGCTGTAGAGCGTAGATGGTTTGTTTAAAAATTTGGGATTCTTGGTTGATGCAAGTGGGGAGAACGACGAGACAGGGATGGGGTCAGACTCTTTAGCGGAAGCTTTCTTGCTCAGATTCAAGGGTTCTGAAGAAGACAATCCAGCTGACATCTTGTACTGCTCCGCCATAGAGCGCAGTAGTTTTAGAGGATCTGTAACCATGGGGGTTGAATCTTGATGAGCGGGGGTAAAGGTGAATGCTGGGTGCTTGGGAGCCGGGGGGCCATGATGTGGCATTACAGGGGATGGTATGGGTACATATGGTGGGAGAACTGGGTGGTACAAGGAGTGGTACGGGAGAGGCAGTGGGTAGAAACTCCCAAGTTGATCCGACTGGAAGAAGGGTGGTCCCTGAGCAAAGAAAACATGTGATTAATATAGGAGATATAATAGGTTTTCAATCATTAAAGAAAACTATGAGTATTTAATAATGATTCGACTATTGGATTAATTTGCAACCTCTTGTCAGTAAATCAATAACTAAACCGTTTTACACAGCAAACTAAATTACTTCTTGCATCAGAACTTATCTATTCAAATTATTAAAATGTACATGGTGTTAATATTTAGAAGACCTTCTGTATACATTGGCTACAGCACAAAAATGAATTTAAAATAACACCAACCAGTGGCAGAGATGGCAGCTTGCGTTTTGGTGGCCTCTGGCCCCCATCCTCTTCTTTGGGGTAGGGGTAGGGCCTTGGCTGATTGTGAGGCAAATTGCTCATTATTATGCCTTTCAAGTGACACTCGTAAGGCAGAAGCAACCTAAACAAATGATAATCGAATCAGATAAAAGCTTTCGATGTAATAAAACCACCCACACATATTGCATGCAAAGATAACTACACTGACTTTTCATAGTGTCTGCGTGTGCAGGTTGCTGCGCTTGTACTTCGCGGGTTTCCTCCCAGGGTGTTGTAAACCCGCTTCCACAGCTGATGAGAGGTCACCTGGAGTTAAGAAGATAGATTTTAAAACTTATATTCTCTATATAGAAACATTAAAGCACATTACAAAAATTAAAGCTCTGCACCCTGTTTTGGTGCATAACTTCGAATGCACAGTCAATATGAAATACTAGAAACAAATAAAAATTCAATGGCTTTATTCAACCTTTTAAAATAACTATGATTTTAGAAATGTGACATTAGAATTTGTCTGATATCATTCCAAAAATATTATTGCATTTTATATACATTTTGATGTGTATACAAATTTTAACTTTTATAAATAATTAGAATTGCAGCATAGAAATTGTGATGGAATTTATGAATAATTCGATGAAGTAAAAAGACTTTACCTATAGAGAGCATGAAATGTAAAGTATGTAAAATTACATTGTAATAAACACATTATAAGTTAGAAAACAGAAATACCTGATGATAGCCACCCAAGTCATTCACGGTCTTGAACATCAAATATAAATCAACTAGAAAGGAAAGGAAAAATAGAAATAAATGTTATTACATTTATCTATGCATAAAATCTGTGAATTTTATCGTAAGTAATTGAAATCAGATTATGTTTCAGATTTCCTGCCTTAGACAAAATATTTTTTTTCTTTTTCTCTAACTTAGAGAGTTATTATTATTTTTCCCCACTGGAATAAAGACACTATATACGCTCTTGGAGGCATGGAAATATTTTAGCTAAACCTGTTCCATTTTTAAGATGTGTGGAGTTTTCCTGCCTGATGCCGATATTACAACATATTTTGTGTAAACAAATACTGCAGGAATTTAACAGGAATAATTGCATAATTTTTCCAACAAGAAGATTTTCAGTGCACCAAGTCAGGGTATTTACTTTGTTTGAAGCCCAGGTTGGGGATCCTCTCTATTGGGGTGTCTCGCTTCTTCATGAAAAGGTAGAGATTTTTGAGGAACTGCTCCTCTGTGATCCCCTCCATTGAGTTTTTGGTAGTCTCTGCGTCATGTTCTTTGTTTGCCATTTCCACTTATATCTGAAAGCAATAACAACAAACGCAATTAGAAATGTAGAATCAGTTCATCTCAAGATTGCATTTGTATTTTTCCAGCCACTTCTTAAAATTTTAAAGTGATAAACATCTTTATTTCAACACTACCCTCTAGCTGAGAGAAAAGTCGTAGCAGGGCCCCATCGTGTGACTGCTAATGAAACCGTTTCTTATCTAGATGCAGTCATCTCTCATGCCTTTAGCTTGAGACATAAAAGTTGTATCAATGCTATGTTTTATCCCTTCAGCTTTGCACTTAAGTTATATTGCCTTAAGCAGCAAATATTAGCATTAATTGGAACTAAAATAATATTTATTTAAGATTATCCTTATTTTTTCTATCCATAATGGAAGAGAAATTTAAAAAAAAAGCTTTTTAAATCATTTATATACCAAAAAGAAGAGATTGGAAAATAAACACATACATTTTCTAACTTATGAGCATCTTAAATCTGGATTTAAACCAAATTGCTCCTCACCTTTAAAGAAGATTAGGATGAAAAGAGTTATCTCATCACTCTTAAGGTCAGAAAACAAGCCAAGAAGCTGTGGTGCGTGATCCCTGCAAGAAGTTAAAAGATCGCTCAAATCTCTGCAACAACAACTTATTAAGGCTGCGTCAGTCACACACTTGTCCCTTGAGTCTTTGTGACAAAGTAATAAACCAGCAGAAGGGGGTGTACACTACATTGACTTCCTGCTGAGATTTGGATTGTTGAACCAGTTTGACTCGCTCCTGAGAATGTGACCAGAAAAGCAAAGTGTGAGGAAATACACTGTCAAAGGAACACAACATATTTGCATATTATATTTACCGGTACTACTCACAACTTATTTCTTTAATGACATTTTTTGCCTCATACGACTCAATACAAATTTTTTTCTCAAGCAATTAGTGCAATTGGCCTTTAGATATGGTGGCTGGCAGGAAAGGGGGCTACATGTTTCTGCAGCTTTTTTTTTTTTTTAACCAACATTTATCTTAAAAAGATATAAATATAAGTTTTTGCACTACTTGAAAAACAAAGAGCATCTCTTAAGCAGTGCAGACACTGAATTACAATGAACTTGTTCATAAATTTCTTCTTTTTTTCACATTATTATAAAACCACAACATCTTCCAGGTGTTGAAATGGGATGTTGCAATTGATTAACAATATTTTATTGCATTATTTCAACATGCTTACAGGTTCTTCCATTTCAAATAAACACACAGACAGACAAAAGATATGCAAAACATCTTCTTTTTAAAGTACAAGGTGAATCTTGAAAAAGGATGGGCTATAGCGCCACGTTTTCAAACCTGGTATTGCTGCTATCAACGAAGAACTGGACGTTCATGTCCCTGTTTTCATTTACTCATCAGAACTAGTATTGACATATTGGGAAAAAAACATTACCTGATACACTGAGGCAGGATTTCAGTTTCTCATGTTAGGCCAGTACTTGTTAGAAGTATTCTTGGGTGATGATTAGCTCTAATGGTGTGGGTAGGGGATTGTTTTCACTAGATATCAATCTGAAAACACATCCTCTATATGTGGTAGAAGGAAAGATTTTCATCGGGGATGTGAAGTCAACGGTTTAGCATCAACTGCATGATGCTATCATATTAGTATGGAACAAAGCATCTGAATGTTTCTAACGTCTTGTTAATCTATGATCGATCTGAAGAATGAAAGACGTTTTAAGAGCGAAAGTGGGACAATCACAGGAGTTGAAAGGTGTGTGAAAAAAAAATCCTGCATTTCACAAAGGATAAGACTTTTTATAATACGACTCAAGCTGTAAACAATAACTACATTTACAGAGCGATAATATGTGATAAATGGTTGAATTGCAATGTTGATGTTATCATTAAGGAAGAAGGAAGAATGATGTTAGCAAAAAAAGGTACTGTTTTTTTGGTTTGTGCTGCCTGTTTTGTTATTACAAAAGAAATATCTTCTTGACATAAGCAAACATGAGAGTGAAACAAAGACTTTTTAAGCCTTTGTGCTTGTGTTTGTTCTATCTTTTTAACTATGTGACAGATCAAGCTGATATTGTGCAAAAATGTGAAGAGGAAAAAAATTTAGTTTTTGTTTCAAAAGTCAAATTCTGTAAAGGGAGTTCATGCATTTGTTCAAGCCTTTACAATTAGGCCCTGAATAAATTTGAGGGCAACCGATTGCCTTTTAACCTTGCGCTGCAAGCTGGATTGTGTGAGATCTGAATTTTCAATCTCACAACTCAACTCAGTTCTAAACATATCAAACTAGCAGCTGCCAGGTTCATTGCCTTTAGTGGTTGCCATAAAGAACATCCGTCTTTTAAATACAATAAACCTATATCTTTCTTTAAATGAAACTTGTTGTAACCAGTTTCAGTGCCAGAGAATCTCCATAAAAGTGTCATTTCATAAATAAATCTTTTTAATTACTTAAAACAGTGAACAGCTTTGCTTAATAGGAAAATACAGAAAGCCAAATACAAGGGTGGAGCTAAAATTTCCAGGTATGCAGAATAATTGCTTTTAAATGCAATATATAATTGCTGTTGAAAGACAATTGGTTTAGTGTTCTGGCAATATATTCCTGCCTTCAGTTTTGTATTCATCTAGCCCCATGACAGTGACACGTCTGCAGCAACAATTGTCAGTTTGTGGAGGTTGTTCCCAGCTCAGACTTTAGGAATCTGAAAGGTGTGTCATGATCGCTATCCAAACACTGCTGGTATTCTCAACTGAATCTATTACAGCACAGACATTGAAACCTGACATGGAAACTATGTGAGTCAAATGGGTAGAAATCAGTTGAGCTTGATTCTCTGAAATCTGCCAGCATAGCTGTCATTATGAAAGCATTCATTAGTGTTTCATTTTTCTTATAAATGACAAGCAAGTGATAAGCATATCAAAATAGACAAATTGAATAGAAACAGGATGAAGATTTTTTTTTGGATTAAAGCTTAATATGACAATAACAAAAACTGACAAGCTAAACATTGATCTTTGATGACTAAAAAATGACTAGTCATAGGTTTGAGCTTTCGTCAATGAGACTAAATAAAAATCAGTGGATGGTTGGTCAGAAATTTGAAATGCATTTTTGTGCTCTAATCTGTTAGACGTGCTACGCAGTATCAGCCGTCCTGCTGTGTCTTGTTTGGTCACACCCACTACCTGGTGTGCAGCGCTGCACATTCTGTAGGACCACAGATGGATCATGGCAGCAAGGGCAAGGGTTGAAAATAAGCCGGAATGGTCCGGTATTGCGCTCTGAATTCTGACAAACTGATCTTCCAGCTGTGCTTGTGCAGAAATGCGTGTTTGCATGTGTGTAGCTCAGAGTCTGCGCTTTATGCTCCACACTGATGGTTCACTCTCAGCAGTATGGCTCTTCCTACCCTCGCTACTTAATAAAGTATGTGGGTGATCATCCACTGCCAAGCGTAAAAAATCCCTTTGTCTATCTATCAAGATTTTGTTTCTTCCAGCTCACAAGAGGTGATACTAAACATTCTTAAATTTCTAGAAAATATTTTATTGCATACTGTTTATTTTTGGGTAAAGACCCAGGTGAAAAGATACATATATCTTTGAATATTCTTTCTTATAGTTCTTCTATGAAACCATTAAATGTTTCCATGTATTTAAATATGATGTAAATGTTTCTTTTTATTGCAATTAAAAAAATGTCTATGTTTCCTTTGAATATGTCAACATTTTAGTTAGCAAATTCATTCAATTTAGGTCTGGATTGCCATGGCATTACTAGGCAATTATGTAGGTTCTCTGTATTTAATTTTTTATATCCAAACCCTGTGAATTTAAATCTACTTTGACCCCTGAGCAGCACTAACAGAGGGGTAAGTTGAAGAATAGAACAAAGCCAAAGTAGAAAGAAGAATGTTTTTGTTTTTTGCTTTTTTGGTGCAATGAAGATTTTTTTGATCTGTGTGTAATGTATAATTCATAGTAGACCAGGAACTGTTTGCTTTTGAATGGAAGCCTTGTTTGTTTAAAACCATGCCTTTATTTTACATTTTGTTGGCTTGTCTATCTGCTATATTAACCAGAGATGGCAAAAGTACTCTCTTTCCGTACTTGAGTAAAAGTACAGATACTTGTGTTAAAAAATACTCTGGTAAAAGTGGAAGTACTGATTAAACTTCTTTACTCAAGTAAAAGTAACAAAGTACAGGCTTGTAAATTTACTTAAAGTATAAAAGTAAAAGTAGAAACCACTTTTTTCATGCCGTTCCCTACATTTTAAATGGATGTCTGCCAATAGGACTAGATCTCCATTGTGTTCCTTTTCAATCATCTCGTCGTCCATACTACTATGCTAATGCCACCGCCACCAAGCTGCAATGATTTGCCGCGAATGAATACCGCCGAATCTGTCGATTCATCTTGTAGTGGTGCGTCAAATGCAACGTAGATTCCCATCCAATTAGATTGAATTTGGTATTGATGACGTGAAAAATAATAACGGTAACTCAATTGAAATTATTCAAAACTAAAGTAACGAGCCAATTTTTTATAATGTAAGGAGTAGAAAGTACAGATATTTGTGTAAAAATGTAAGGAGTAGAAGTAAAAAGTCACCATAAAAATAAGTAGTAAAGTAAAGTAAAAATATCAGAAAAATCTACTTGAGTACAGTAACGAAGTATTTGTACTTCGTTACTTCCCATCTCTGATATTAACCATTATGATGTGTTGAACTAGATCTGCTATTTCCACAGCTTTTGTGAGACATTTTTTTGTAAAGTAGGACATTAAGTTGATTTGAATTCTATAAATCTATGTTTTCTTCCCAACAACAACGATGGATTGCAAGGCAACATTCTATACCCAGCAATTATATTATCTAGACAATAGCTGTCAGTCTAGTAAAAAGTCTGGTTGTTATTCAAAACTGTAAAACTTTTTTTGCAACATAAAAATGACTACAACTAAATTAAAACCTTTTATAGGTTATAGTTGACTAAAACCGACTAAAACTTTTATATAATCATAATGATTAAAATGCGACTAAGATTAATAACAGTTTTCATCCTGAACACTAAGATTTAACCTAAGATGGCTGTCAAAAACAACACTGCAAACAATACAGTTTATCACTACTTCTCCATCTCATCCATGAAAGCCAGTGTGTCTTTAGATCAACAAGAGAGGTCAGAAAGGAAAAATGTGAAACTGAGCTGTTAAAGAGAAGCTGAAATGTGAAAAATTTTTTAAAAGTTATGATCTTACAGCACAAGATTTTTTGAATAGCCCCAGATGTTAGAAAAAAAAACATTTACCTAAAAAGATGCAGTAAACCTATAAATGACATTAGAATAATTTATATCATATACAAAAAAATCTGGTCTAGTTTTTATTTTTTCTATATAATCACTACTCGCTCTGCCATAACCTGAGAATGATTATTTGAACAGACATGGCAGTGAAGTCACGCAGTTACTGTATACATGCACTCGTAGGCCCAGGTCAGCGTTTTTACCGTCTTTAGATGGCTAGAATGCCATTATAACTATTAGAACCAAATTTATGCTGAGCCATTAAAAAAAAATAAAAAATAAAAAAAAGTACAACCTAAATATTCACAGAATTAGCTTATTGTAAGTTATAGTTAATTACCTATTCACTCAGCAAAGCAAAAG